ATGAGAAAAAAAAATGAATTTGAACGATTGTAGTATCAGGCTGTTACATAACAAAATTGAAAAAAGTGAAGGTCTGAATACTTTCCAAATGCACTCTAGAATACTAGATGTTTGGAAAACTGGCTCTTTTCTCTGACATGCTAGTTTTCTTAAGCTTGCTATTTGAACAGAACTTGTTCACTGATTATAGGATAGGCTAATACCAATCTTATACTAGAAATATAGCTTATAACAAAAACGTATCTTACATCAGAAATTTCTGGCCTAATAACCTAGAATGTCACAAGGCTTATATAACTTTTTTTTACCTGTGTCCACTTGTGGTTGTCACTTGTAATGGAATGCACATCACAAATCAAGGTCTAGGAAAAAGGAGGTTAACCATTTATTTTTTATGAAATACTGGATATGTTAAGTACAAGTTCATTGAAGCTGTAGCAATGGCAGTCCTTGGAAGCATGAAGAGTTTACCTGCATTGTTGGGCGCAAAAGAATGTGTTTGCTTTGGTATGTTGGAGATTTCAGATTGCCAGACTGTCTGTAGTCACGTATTTCTGTTATGACACATCCACAATGGAAAATATTAATCTGTTTAAAAGCAAACAAAAATAGAATACAAAGTCATTATGAATTATTTTATATACATAGAGAGATTTTTAGCAGTTTGATATTTATACTTAAGCAGAACCAAAATGATTATTAGATCTTAGGAACAACTGTTAAATGTTTCTTCTGTCAATACATGCAGCAAGAATAAGAATAAGGACTAAGTCATGTAGAAACTGATTCTTGCTTTTATATTTTTTAGATATCTTCAAAACTCCAAATCATATAATAAAGATCAATTCTGATCAACTTATGACATGAGCTTTGAAACATGACAAACAATAGTTTAAAATGCAATCCTTTCTAATTTTTAATTCAGAAATGTCTTTGATGAATGAATCTTTAATTCAGATAAAGTTATATAGGAACTAAGTCTTAGTATACTGGTAATCTATTTTTATTTCTTTCCCTCTCATCGTTGAACTTTATAAGTTTACTCCTACAGGCTCTAGAAATAGTAACAGCCGTAACCATATTCATTCAGGCATCATCATTGCTCAAATCATGATTTCCAAGCTTACTTTAAATTCTTTTAAATTCTGGTTTCTCGTTGAATCAGAAATCATAGCCTGTCAAGTTAAACTTTATGTTGCTCTAGCCATGTTTTGATGTGAACTCTAAAATGAGTTCACATGAAAATAAGTAGATTAATGTAATGTTGCTGGTAAAGTTACCAGCAATTTAAATAATATTTAAGATTCCACTATATAAAGCTAAGCAACCTTTTGTCCCTCAGGGGCCACATGGAGCATAAAATGGTAAATTACAGCCTTGATTGTACAAAGAAACATGCACACTCACCCACGCCTATATCTATCTATGTATACACGCACACTCATACATACAGTACACAGATTTATATGCACCACACTTAGTTACTTTTCTCTTTTCAATGTCAATCCAGACTAGGATTGCTGTCCTGCTGCAGCTAACAGTAATCTTTTTCTCCCTGTTTAACTGCTTGCTGATTGGCTTGCCACATGGAACAACTGGTGAGACTGCAGTTTATTTACATCTTCTCAGATATGATTCAGTTTTGTCTGTTAACAGCTATCATTCTTATTCTACAAACTGCTTACATAGTGTATCTGTGTACCCTCCAACTGAATCTATCATACATGCATAACTAGTGCTGCTATTACTATCCCACCAAAAATGCAATAACAAATCCACAAACAATTGTGCAAATTCTTTTCAAACCTGAGATTTTTCAAGGAGGTCAACTAAAATAGGGGGCAACTCTTCAGCATCCAAATATTCAAGTAATTCTCCTTCTTCATAAGGAAGCCGAATGGTTTCTGAATCTGCATTTAAAACACAGAATCCAGCTCAGCAAGAATCTATTACTCACAACAAAATAAATTCTAGTATGCTTCAGACCAGACTTCCCACTAATAATATTTCAAAAGGTTATTTAAAAAGACAGATCAAGGAAAGATTAAAAAGTGAACAAATATTCAATGCTTGTTTTACCTGAGCCATTCTTTCCTCTGAGCATCAAGGAATACCCCTCATTTCCTGGATAAAGATTCACTACTAAGCATGACAACGTCTCTTGCATAACTAGCTTCTCCAACAAGTTCACATTTCGTCTCAGCTTCTGCTTTAAAATGGGGGCAACAACTCATGAAAATCAGGGACATCAAAATTAATAGCACAATCTATGTATTTATATTTAAAATGTTCCAAGGCAATGGCAAAACCCACATAAAAACTCCCCCCAAGCTATTTTATAAGTTATATGTTAATAATTTTCTATCTTTCATGCCAATGCTGGGGTGACTTATCTATTTATCTGACTAGAAAAACTTATATTCGCTGGGCAAATTCACAAGACACAGTAAAGACAGCTTTACAATGAATAGACTAGCTAGCTTTTGTAGATTTTGTAGCACATTAATTAATGTGGCTACAAAATCAGCTGCCAGTAATTTACAGTTAACAATATTATTCAAACTTAAAATACTTGCTATTTCCAGCTGGAACTAGTCAGAAAAAACAGCCAAACAAGACATGACTACTTTCTGTGATTAGCATAAAACACCTAGAGGATTATACTGCTATCCAGCAGCCAAAGAAGTTCTTGTCTCTTTCTATTAAGTCCTCTGTTCCCCAAATGTTACTGCTGAGGGCCTCTGGGGAGCTCAGAAGGTTCTGAAGCAAGACTAAGGTGAAAAATGTTGGCAGTGTTACCACTGGCATTACATACATGCCTTTCATTTCATGTAAGATACCTCTGAATTCAAGCCATTAATAGCATTCCACACAGAAAAAATCATGGAAGTTTCCCCCTCCTTTAACACTTTAGGAGTATTAAGGGAAAAAACAACTGGAAATAAACTACAACATGACACCAGATTGCCTAAAAGAACTATATCATTCTTCCAGATATCTTTGATATTCAGGGAGATCCAGTGTTGTTTGTATATGTATATATTTATTTATTAAAGATTTTTAAAAAATAAAATACTAATGCAAACTAATATAAAGTAAGAAAAAGAAAGAAAGAAATGAAAGAGAGAGCTAAAAGGGCAAGAAAGGGAAAAAAAGTAATAGAAAAATAGAAAAGAAAAAAGATACAAAGAAGTAGCTTCCAGTTTTCTTTATAGCCATTATAAGTACAATTATAAGTTTACCTCTTACTCTATGATTACAACACACTTCTCTTCTTTCTATAATCTATTCTGTCTGATCATCAAAACCATAAATCATAAGTTTATTTTTTTGTTTCATGCTAGAAGTCTATAAGGGGTTTCCAGTCAGCAATAAACGTAGATAGTTTTTTCTCTGATCAAAGAAGTCAATTTAGCCATTTCTGCAAGTTCCATCATCTTTACCAACTGTTCCTCCATTGTGGATAGTACCAAATCTTTCCATCTTTGTGCATATAATAATCTTGCTGTAATTATCATGTACAAAAACAAAGTTCCATGACTTTTTTCCAATTGTCTGTCCATCAATCCCAAAAGAAAAACCTCTGGTTTCAATTGTATATTAATCTTTAACATCCTCTGAATCAGTGTATGTATCTGAATCTAGAATTTTCTAACTTTCTTACAGGTCCACCAAACATGATAAAATATCCCTTCTTGTTTCCAACATAAATTTGAAGTGCCTTCATAAATTCTACACAATTACTCTGATGACATATACCAATGGTACATCATTCTATAAAAATTCTCTTTAAGATTATAACATAATGTAAATTTCAATCCTTTCAGTCACATATTTTCCCATTGCTCCATCTGTATATCATAACCAAAATTTTTAGCCTACTTTATCACACATTCTTTCATTTGTTGTTCTGTTTCAAATTTCAATAAAAGTTTATACATTTCAGCACCTACACATTCGTCCTTTGTACAATTCTATTTCAAACTCAGTCTTAGAATGTTCAAAACCATAAATTCTTTTATCTACTTCAAATCTTTCTCATAATTGTAAATAAGAGAACCATTGACAACTATATCGCTCTACCACCTATCACAGAGGTGTCTTCAGGCACAACCTGAGTTTGTATCTATTCCATATTCTCAATATGGCATGTCTAACATAATGATTTTTAAAATCCACACTGATCTTGACTATCATACCACAAATATCCATGCCACCCAAATCTCAGGTCATGTCCTTCTAACTCCAAAAGCCTTCTATTTCTCAGCAGCACCCACTCTTTCATCCTGGTTTGAGCAAGCTGCAAATTACAATTTCAAATCAGGTAAACCCAATCCTCCTG